AGGGCATGTCGAATCTTCCTCGAGGAATTCGAGACGATCTTTTGTCCGGAGTCGATTTAGCACCCCCATCCATAGGATGAAGGAGTGCTTAGGGGTATTACACGGGCCCCAAACGACCCCATTCCACGGCACCATGGTTTTCCTTGGTCTTAGGAATTCGTAGCATCTACTAGACCCATCTTAACCTTCCCGAGATTTTCACCCTTTAAGAAGGGCTTCCGCACCCCGCACATTCCCCGTTTTTTCCACCAAGCGTTGTCGAATCTCAAAAAGGGCTTTGAAAAGAGGCAAGTCCCTTGATTTGATTTGCCAATCCCAAATGGAGCTCCCTTGTAAGTAGTTGGTGTGGATCCATTTGTGCCACAAGGTTTCCTTCTTTGCTTGCATGTTCCAGAGCGTCTTGGTGAGCAACGCTTATTCCATGCATTCAAGTCTCCAAGCCCCAGACCACCCTCCAATCTCGGCACACATAAACTTTCCCAAGCCACATGAGCACTCTTCGAGCCCCAAAGGAACCTTCTACATAGTTTGGTGATTTTTGTTCTAACTATGTCGGGCAAATGGAAGATCCCCATCCAAAAACACACAATGCCTTGAATTACCGAGCGAAGAAGTTCCAATCTCCCGGCATAGGAAAGAGTGTGCCCATTCCAACCACTAAGTTGCCCCTCGATTTTTTTGATCATATCATCAAAGATCCTTACGGTGATTCGGTCCGCGGAGAGAGGGATACCGAGATACCGAAAGGGCATTGATCCGCAACGTAAGTTGGTGTCATCGAGGATTGAAGCCCGAATATCGTTCTTGACCCCTGCCAAGTAAATATTGGATTTTAGCACGTTCATCTCGAGTCCTGACTTAGCTCCGAAGTCCTTAAGGCAATCCATGAGAATTTTTATTGACGGAGGGTCTCCACGAGAGAGAAGCATGAGGTCGTCGGCAAAGATGAGGTGTGAGATTTTTAACTTCTCGCACATTGGATGGTAGTTGAAATTTGTGCCGACTTCCATGTTGTTCTTGATAAGCAGGGTGAGGTATTCCATACAAATCACGAAAAGGAAGGGTGATAGGGGATCACCTTGCCTTAGACCTCGGGCTCCTTTGAAGTGGCCTTTGAGGCTCCCGTTGATAGATAGCGAGTATGACGGTGTAGTGACGCACTCCATGATCCATCTCGTGAAGACCTGTGGAAAGCCTAGGCCATCGAGCACTTGCTTTAGAAACGACCAAGAAATGGAGTCAAACGCTTTGCGGAGGTCGATTTTGATAGTACACCTCGGGGAGACGTGTTTCCTCAAGTAAAGACGGAGCAATTGTTGCATAAGGTGGATGTTGTCCGTCATACTCCTCCCTTTAACGAAGGCGGCTTGAGCCTCATCAATGATAGAACCGAGGACACCGCTAACTCGACTGGCTAGGATTTTAGAGCATATTTTATAGATCGTGTTGCAACACGCTATTGGACGAAAGTCCGTAACATGTGAAGAGTGAGAGGCCTTCGGCACTAACGTGAGGGCCGTATGGTTCCATTGCTTAAGGAGCGAGCCGGAGTGGAAGAACTCTTGAATTGCCGCCACCACATCGGCCCCGACTATGGACCAACTCTTCAAAAAGAAAGTAGAGGTGTAGCAGTCCGGGCCCGGGGATTTACCACCGTCAATGTCTCTTAAAGTGCACTTAATCTCATCCTCGGTGATCGGGGCAATAAGAGCCTTACAATCATCATCTCCCACACATGGTCCCAACCTAAGGATTTGAGGGTCAATTTCCTCCGTTACGATATCAGTTCCTAAAAGAGCTTCATAGTAGAGAATGAACTCTTTGGTAACTCCCTCCATGGAATCGGTTACGGTTCCATCTTCCCGGTTAATCGAGGCAATGAAATTCCGTTTCGATCGCTTTTTGACCAAGCCATGGTAGAACTTGGTGCATTTATCACCCTTGATTTGAAAGTTGCATTTGGCTTTTTATTGATAGAAGTGCTTCTCCGCTTTAGCCAAACTAAGAGCTTTGAGTCTAATGAACCCATCTTGGACTTGGTTTCCGAGTCGTCAAGATTATCATGGAGCACTTTTTTAGCAATCTTAAGGGCATTCTTCGCTTCTTGAGTTCGGGAGGAAATGTGTGAGAAGGCCTCCTCATTAAGCGCTTTTAGGGTGTTCTTAAGGTTCTTCAAATTCGACGCAAGGTGGAATTGCCTTGAGCCCCCACCACCATGATTCCAGGTCTCTTGAACACTCGGCAAAAACGTTTAGTGGGTAGTCCACATATTAAAGAACAGCCACGGTGACCCACAAGTGCGCCTTGCCTCGAAGATAGTTACCAAGCACGGAGAGTGGTCGGAAATACCCGACGCAAGGAAGGTTGCATGCGAGAATAAATTGGCATTCTCCCATTGGGTATCCACCATAGCCCTATCAAGTTTCGACCAAACGTGGTTGTTGGTCCATGTGTGGAAAAAACCGCTTGAGGGAATATCCGACAACCCTAATTCATCACAAACTTCTCTAAGATCCCTGGTGTCCCGGTTGGTGACCCTTTCTCCTCTAATTTTCTCTTCCGACTTTATAATGGCATTGAAGTCCCCAAGAAGCATCCAAGGCAAGAAGAACCTCCCCCGAGCAGCCCTAAGGTCATTCCATAGCAATTTTCGATCTCCTCTCGTAGTCCATATATGAGGCTAGCAATAAACGAGTGGTTGCTAACCTTACAATGGACCTTCGCAAATATGACTTGAGGCAAGGTGGCCTCCACCGTGATGTCGACTTTCGCGGGGTTCCATAGTAGTGCTATACGCCCACGATCAACAACATCAAAATTTTCACAAAAATCCAACCCGGTAATCTTCTATCTATAAAGAGAGCTAGCCGCCTAGCATCGGTTTTCGTTTCCAAAAGACCCAAAATGTCTATGTTATTTCTTCGGATGAGGTTGATCACCTCATCTTGTTTTAGAGGCCCATTAAAGCCCCTAATGTTCCATGAGGCGATATTCATTGAGAAGAAGAAGGGTTGCCCCCTTTCTTCACATAGTTCCTTTTCCCCCTTCATTTCTCCCACTCGGTTTGCCTCTTAATTGGATTGTTGACCCGAAGTTGCAATGGATTGGCTTGCGGCTCCGCTTCGAGTGAGTATCTTGTTGCGCTTACCTACTACTTGGAAGGTGTTGTCCTCATTATCCAGAGGAGCGGTAATGGTTCTAGAGGAAGAGGAAGATGTGTCCGTATTAGTGGTCACCGCCTCGTTTCCTTGTACATACTCCTCATGCCCCTTGTTTGTTTCATCCTCGTTCTTTTGATTTTCCTCTATATCATCAATCTCCTTGGGGGTAGTCTTGTCACCTCCTGTCTTAGGTTGCACGGTTTCCTTTGTTTGTGCCGCTATCTTGGTGGTTAACAAAGGTTCGTCCCTCTTCCTTTGCTCGGTATCCTTAGGTTGGTGTTTCTTTGCTTGGTGTTCTACTGCTTTCTTGGTAGTCGCCACGGCTTCACCATCTCCGGTTGTTTTCTTGCCCTCCGCTTTTTTCCCGAGGTGGGCTTTATATTTCCCACAGTTGGTGGTGGAGTGTCCTATGTATTTGCAAAAATTGCAATAATGTGGGACATATTCATATTCCACCTTTTGCTCAAATAGGAACTCCCCTTTGGAGGATATGGGAATGCTAAGGGCTCTATCTTTTGAGAGGTCTAGTTCAACTAAAACCCGGGCATAGTTGTGACGAGCCCGTGTTGCTGTGAGCTTATCGGTAGTGATGGGTTTGCCGACATAGGAGGCAATCTTGCTAAGAGACTTCGTACTCCAACATTCTCCGGGTAGGAGGGGGAGGTTGATCCAAACGGGGACAGTTTTGATGTCGTCTTCTCCGAATTGGAACCAATTAGGGAGGACTTTAAGGATAAGCCCTCGACCATAAATTGTGTGGGGCCCTCCATGAAGTACCTTCTCTCTATCTTCTTCGTTTTTGAACTTGAAGACAATCCACCCATTTAGGTTGGGAATGTATTCGTATTGAACTCCCCATGAGTTACATAGGTTCAACAAAGCTTCTTTGCCCGGGTGCCTATGAGTAAAGTACCCGACAAGGCAAAAGCCCCATGCGCTCGTAATATCCAATAGGTCTTCGTCATCTAGGTTCACCCCATTGTCCGGCGGTATGTAGTCCAATTTAAGGCCAAGCGAAGTCTTACGATTATCGGCAAATAGGGCCGAGTATGGCCTCTTTAGTGTGTCGGTTTTCTTTTGTGTCATTTTGTCGAGCACCTTGTGTTCGCCTTTTGTGAATTGTGAAGTAGGCTTCTCTTGCATTTGTTGTTCCCTCTAATATCCTCATCATCTAAACCAATGTTGTCATTAGGTAAGCAAGCCTTAGAACTATCTTCAACCTCCCTTGGAGGTTGAAGATAAAGCTTCCATTTTGTCTATAGCTCGTTGCTCATCTTCCGAGTCCTCAAGAGAGACATCATCATGTTCGTTAGAGTGCCCGGAGCACTCTTCCTCCATCAATTTCCGGTATTTGAGTTTTTTCTTATTTTTGCCCATGAAGACCTCAAGATGGTGGCTCGCTCAAAAATCCCAAGGCATGCGGAGTCTTCTTGGACTAACTTCAATGTTTGGTGAGCAATTCGTGAGTGGATTTGTAACAGGAATTCATAAGATCTTGGATTAAGCTCGTGAGTTGTGGGCACTAGAAATGGGTTTCTAATGAGAGAATTTTTGCCTTCTCTCTAACCCTTTAGCTAGCTATCTGGCTTTGAGCTTTAACCAAACAAGTGCCAAGGAGCTCCTACTTATGTGATGGGATGGTTTTGTCATTTTTTTGTTTTCNAAAAAAAAAAAAAAAAAAAAAAAACTATTGCTCCTCAAGCTTACAGGCTTCAATCAGGTTGCTGAAAATATTCTCACCAAACATGCTAGCATTAGTTGAAGCTAGCTTCACTCGGTTCATGATGCCACTAGAAATGAAACCTATGCCCTGTTTTAGAAAAATTTTTATATACGGACAAATAACGCGTTGGTAATCTGTATTTTATCATCGAATGCAACTGAATAAAAATTCCAAGTTGGAGAGAATCACTGCTCGTATAGAAAGTTAATTACTAAGCCTCCATCACTAGAAGCTTAAAAAGAGTACAGAATCCTGAGCAGTTGGCATCAAATGCCACAAAATATGAACCAAATTTAGTTCCCCTCTCCTCACTTAACCTCAAATGTTAATCAAACTTATGAAAAACATTACCGGAAAATCAGTTCGCGAACTTGGTCATAGAACTGTTATCAGCAATGGAATTGTCGAAAATGCTTCGTCTTTTCTTGCTTTGCTCCTCTTTTTCCTGACGTTCAAAGTGCTTTTGTGCATGACTTGCAACTTGAGTAGGGTTTCTTGTTAGGACCATGTATCTTGAAATGCTTTTCCAATCTCCTTTTCCATATTTTTCCAGCCCAAGAAGAAACAGCCTGTATTACACAAACACCACAATACGTTCATGCAATGAAGAAAAAAACATGCAAACTACTACGGCCAAATGATTATTAGTAGAAAGGAAGAAATATACCATAGTACAAAATACAAGTGTCGTTTTCTAAAGAAAAACTAGAATTTTCCATTTTTGTCGATGCTCATTGGTTTTGGCGAAAAAAAGAAACGATCAACTACCATTTAAACCAACAATAAATTTTCTGTTTTCGATATACTCCCTTGAATGCTTCGATCATAAAAATGATTCCAATAACATGATCAAATTATAGTCGATGTCAAATCATGTTTTTAACTCTAAACAGACATACATGCAACTCATGAATTCTCCACTTCGCATATACCTTTTAAAGAAAACTAACGGACTTAAGGCTAATATACAAGCGACGTTTGATGTGATAACTTTCATATTAATCAAAATAAATTTACATTAATATTGAGTCTTCTTATACATTTTGTAATGAAAGTTCATATGTTTGAGAAAAGAAACGTGGCCTTGGGCATTGCACGGATTAATCATATTTTTCATAAAATTCACCACCTCTATCGTTGGATAACTTTTCTAATTTTCTCTCTACAAAATAACAGAATGTACCCCCCAACAAAATACGCAAATTTATTGGAAATTATACCGCAGTTGATAAATGTTTTAACAATTTTAATATGGTATTTCCTCCAACACCTCGTCACATAATATTTCCTATTATTTTACATTTTAAAATCAGAAACATTATATATTGTTCATCCCACTCCAAATTCCATTCTTTGCTTTTACCATATGAAAACCAATCTCGATTATCCGAAAATGATCCAGAAATAAGAAAAATAGTAATGAATTTTATCGAATTTCAATCTTACCTGTGCTCATCCTCGGTCCACGGCCTGCCTGTTTTCCTCTGGGCGCCGCCAGTTTGCTTCTTCTCCGATTTAGGGCATTTCTGTGGCTCCGACGACCTGCCCACGTCCCTATCCCTGTATTCCGGCGACTCGACCATCCCCGACTCAATAGCCCTTAAGTCCTCCAACAAAACGGCGTAGTGCTGCTCAACATCCGCCGCCGATTTAGTCGCGATCCTGGACGCGATTTGCCCCCACCGATCGGGAAAGTCCTCCGGAAAATCAACAAGGCCGTTTTCGAATTGCTTGTCCTCTTCCCAGGTCCACTTCGTGTCCCCCGCTCCGAAATCGCCATTGCTCGGGTCGCCTGACCCGATCGTGCGGCTATCCATGATTATCCCTTCTTTTTCTTCTTCACCGGTAGAATTTGAGTCTCTGGAGTCCTGATTTCGAACATATATATATATATATATATATACACACACAATCGAGAGGAGATTGTAAATGCAAAAATCTCCGGAGGGTTTTTTCTCGTTTATTACCTTTCTTAGGTTAAAGCCTCTTATTAGGGATTCTTTTCCGCATCTGCTCGGGGGAAAGGATTATTGGCTTTTTTGAAAAATCACGCAGAAAGTGTGAACAAATTTTCTTCGCGGTAATTGAATGCAGAATTTTTCGCCAACAAAAAGCGAAAATCTGCGGGTTAGATCGGCTCCGGATGAAGTTTCTTCTTCTATTTTTTTGTTTTTTTTTTTTCGGAAAACTCAAATCTAACCCGTCGGAAAACTATGCTACAAAGAAGTTCCTTTTTGTTGGTTAATTTAATAGGGGAGATCACATTTCCTGTGGGTAAGTTTCTAAATTTTCTCCTCAAAATGAGGGAAAAAGCAAAGCATTTGATTAGGCCACCGCTATATATGGGATTTAAGTAAAGACTGTGTCCATTGTTCGGATTTCTTCAACTAGGATTGGATGATAATGTTAACTCGCTACAACTAATTGATAAATTATTATTTAAACGGATGAATCTATTCCTTACAACATCTTGACCTTTGCGACGGCTGAAAGTATATTTATTGTAGGACATGTGTCAATACATTATTTGTGTATAAGTGTGGATGACTCTATAAGTCATGTCATCCGATGATTTTATAGCAAAACTGTTTGTGAGAATATTGGATATAATAAGACTTTGTTTTTTAATCAGATAAAGTTAGTTTAAATGTTATTTAGTTTACTTATAAGCTTTTTATATATAAATAATTTTGTTTTTTTTTTTAAAAAGTTTGAGCTTATCTCATAAGCTTCTCTTGGTAGTTTTTCAAATAAATTCGTTGAAATTTGTNAAAACAAACAAACAAACAAATAAATTGATCAAAGTCGAGTTACGTGAAGCACGATCCGCCATGATTAATGCCCACAGTTATTAGAAAATGTCTCCAAGATAAGACTTTTATCTTGTAAATAGTGAACTTTAAATAGTTAATACACAAGAATTCTGCAAACTTACTCGTGTATAGAGCTTTCAAGAAATGAAGAAATATAATGAACTACACAACATGCTATGATATCTCCTGTTCTAGTAAGTTAATTATTACTTGTTTAATTCACATGATCTGAATGTTCAAGGATATTTGTCGATGTGGGAAGACGTCACCAGAAGATGCAAGGACCAAAAGATACCTTCTTGGGTTAACCTCCACACAAATAGATGGACTCATACCTAGTCAGACACCTATTAACGACTACGTGCTGCTAGGGTCATGAGCAACATGCTTCTTCGACTAGAAAACAAGATAACACGGCGCACAAGAGTTATCTCGACGCAACAGGTGTCGTGGGTCGTGCCAAAAAGAAGTATTGTGTGCAACACATCCCTTTTTACCCGGCTGCAATGAGTTCTACCTGATTCGTATTCACAACATCGATTGCGGCAATTCCTAGGCCAGCTCCCAAGTCTACCTCTAGTGCTTGGTGCTAATGAATTCAACTGCCTAGAGCTCGACCAGAGTCCGAATGGCCCGAATGCTTGTAGAAGTGACCGTTCGTGCTTGATAGCTTATGAAATCCAACAATTTCTAAATTACTGAGAGTCTAGATTTCCTATATTTTGGCTCATTTCTAACATACAATTAATTTCTCATTCACTCCAAAATAGTTTTCAGGCCCTTCCTCTAGCGTGAAACTGTTGTTGTACGGAACTTAACAATGATATTTAATTGAAATAAGACGAAATTAAAGCTTGAAAGATATAAATTTTGTATTATTTCTGAGTTTTTACTGAGTACAAAAAGTCGGTATTTTGTATAACTGAGCTATGTTTACATATGCGTGTTGAATGTGCGTCCAAAAATCCCCGTACAATAATAAATTATGTTATTTATAGTAGTGTGTGTTTGACTTTGTGTACGAGGTAGATATGATTGCATTTGATGTTGAACAGCTCTTTAAAAGCGGTCTACTGGTTAATGGGGGAACAACCATGATTGCAAATTTAACATGTGGTCCAATCAAATAGGCGCTATGTCACCTGCTTTGGGTTTCGATCACCTCGGTCCTCGGTCTGCGTGGATAATCTTCAGAAAAGAACCTTCGAGAAGTCAGTTATTTGTCTTTAGTGCGAGGTCGGTTCTCGCTTATGTATGAAGTCGGTTTGATGCTCAGCTTGTACCGAGTTGAGATAAGTTTGTCGGGGTGATGATTCAAGTAATAAGCCTTGAATAACACCTTTAAATCTCGGTCTTAATCCCAACAAATCAAGCCGGTTGTTAACAAGGCTCATCTGACATTCTTCCTCACTGAGTCGAATGTCTTTCTGCTCTAATTCCAATGTCTGATTTTCGGTTTGAGAAAGAGCGATCTTCTTTAATCTATTACTCAATTCCTCTGAAAACACCGCTGAACTTGAAGCCGTCATCTCCGACGGTTGCAACCACTGCCTTCACACAAAGAAGGAAATCGAAAATTGCCACCGCGAGGAACCATAACAAAGTTCGAAGCTACACACAAAAAATTTACAATCCCCCGAAAACCCCCAAAAGAGTAATGGAAGCCCTAGCGCATCTCCTCTGTAAGAGTAATTTGTCCTTATTTACTACATAACACATAGAGTAAACTATTGAATTATTTGAGTACTCATTCAGTTGTGTACTCATGCACGGACTAATCCTTCTATTACAATAAATAATGTAATGTTATATTAAGCATTTATAAAAGAAATATTTAAAATTTCATTTGAAATTATAATTTCCATATTTAAATTATAGCGAAAAAGATTAATTATCACATCCCAAATTTGAAACTTTTATCTCTAGTAAAACAAAGATAGGCCCTTCGTATGCCCTTGTGGAGTCATTTATTAAGGCTTCGCTTGTTTATATATTCATTTGACACATCACAATTCATAGCTAAAACACGAGATAGAAACAAGAGAGTGCACTTTTCGTTTAAAGGATAGAATTCACAAGTAAATTGAAGATGCAAAGTGGAGGAAGCTTAAATCCAAGTCAAGAACTCCATAAAGGAACAACTCGAGCTGGTAAAATGTTGCATAAGATTTTTGTACTATATTTTTGAGTTTTATAAAGAGCAAATCCGTGTGGAATAGATTTTTCTAATTTAGCATGCATGAAGGGTTCTTAATTCTTTGGATTTCGCTCGCGTAAATTAAATTAAAAAGTGATCGTTTGTCGCTTTCGTATGATATTATATTCAGATTTTTTCATATAATTTCGACAAGTAGTAATGTTTTAAGTAGTTCTTCCTACAATAAGTATCAACGTTTATTTCATGGCACGCGGTAAATCAAATTAATTTCGACATGCAATATACTCAAATAGTTAAATTAATTTAGTTGATTTTTTTCATGTATTTGAAATTGATCATTAGTCATTCTTTTGTTTAAGCCTTTCATATATCTTTGGCATCCAACATATTTTGTCCCAAATCCATGACATTGCAATGGCAGTATGTAGGCCAATTTATAGAGACACTTTCTTTTAAGTAAATAAATATTATTATCTGATTTTATAAAGGCTCAATCATCCATATGAATAGATTTCCAGTTGCAAATAAATTTGAACTTTAAGAAGAATCACAATAATATGTTCTATATTTTTTTGTTATCAATCTTCAGCTGTTGAAACTCATTTAAGTGTAATAAATTAGGCTTTTTCGCGTGTTAATAGTTTGTTAGCCATTGGACAAAGAGGCCAACAACTTAGCACCAATACTTGGCTTTTTGTATATGATGCAGACTACAAAAAGCTGTGATAATTAATGGCCATTACCTTTCTCTTAATGACCCAACAGCAAGCAAATTTAGCATATTTCACATAGTTCTCTGACCCAACTATTATGTTTTCATTTATTTATTGTAAATAATTAGTAGGTAATTTTATTATGTGGTTTCATTCCAATATGTACCCTCATCTCAAATTGCATGTCACACACATACCATTTTTTGGACAGTACCTATAAACAATTCAGTTGTAGTAATTTTTTTTTTTTTTTCGTAGTAATTTTCATTACAACATCAGCATTAAACCGAATTATCGTATATATCTTACTCAACATTTGCTAACCTCAATCAATAACAATTACTATGTGCATAGCGTATCCGACCGAATTATGTTAATGTAACAATTATTCGTCTATATACCTTATATAATAAGATTACTGCCTGACGATTAGGCCGTCATATTCTTTTACGAAACATACATACTTATGCAATAAAATATCATACTTTTATTTGTATTATAGTTTATAATATGACATTTAAATATGAAAGTACGTGAATTTGTTAAAATAGTTTGTTTTAGCACAGGTATAGTGATACAAGAGGACTCTGCTGGCTCAAATGTTGCTGCTGACTTGACCAACCGGCAACAATCGTTCCATGACCAATGCATGATTCCCATGACAAATGTGGTTCGAATCATGCGCCGAACCCTACCGGCCAATGCAAAGATCTCAGACGAAGCCAAAGTGATTGTTCAAGAATGCTTATCCGAATTCATTAGCTTCGTGACAAACGAGGCTAATGAGAGGTGCCATCGTGAGTGTCGTAAGACCATCTCCTCCGAGGATCTGCTCTCGGCCATGGGCTCCCTAGGGTTCGATGCGTATGTCGAGCCTCTGGCCGCCTACATGGACCGATACAGGGCCCAGAACCCAGAGCGTGGGCCCGCCTACCGTCGTGGCCCATACACCGGGCATGGGCTCCACAGGCCCACTGAATCTGGACCACCAACTCCAGTGCTTGGGCCACCACCTCCGCAAATGGGTGGTGGAGAGAGCTCCTTGGGCGGCGAGTTTGATCCATTTTGGGGAGATGTTTAAGTAGAGAAGGTGATATAGAGTTTGCTCCTAAAT